ACGACTAGTTTTTCTCCCTCAAATTTATTTGATTAACGAACTCTGTGGTAACCTCCTTTGTACAAGTCAATAGATATCTGTACACAGTAGCTAAGTGTATAATACGTTCAAAGCGGAAAATACTTGGTTTTAATCTTGTAGTGAACATACATATAGCTGATGAGTCCTGAATCAGACGAAAAACAAGTTCTGAATCCCTCTGCTAGCCATTATTCAACATTGTTGTTTTATTTCTTGAGTCTTTCAGTAACTAGATTCTCGGTAAACTGTAAATATTTTATGTAGGTGCGTAAATATACTCTAATGACAAGCATATTTAGTTCATTTTGACAAACCAAAAACGGGAAAATTTACTGAAAAAAATTATACACATTTAACGACGAAAATCTAAAAGTTTGAGCTGGTCGCATATGACGTAATTAATTAACAGGATTGATGACGCTCCATCAGATTTTACCGACTGACTGATGTAGTTCATCTAGACAATAAAAGCTAAAAACATTATTTGTGATATTTAATTATTGTCTCTATGTTAGAAAGAATGTTGTGTAGGTTGTACCTATTTGTTATTGGATATCATACAAAATCGATTTAGTCAAAATAATTTTAAACATTCATAGCTTACGTACAGAATAAAATGTATAGGTCAATGTAAATAGCTAAACCTGAAGATTGAAAAAAAAATTGTTACAAAACTGAGCCAAGTGACTATCATTGATGCATTCTTTTGTCTTTATCACTCGGTTAAATGCTGAATTAAGATCATGGATCGATGAATGTTAGACCACCATTTGAAAACCTGGAAACACTGGACGACCGTTTTGTTTTAGCATGGGACTCCTCAGCAGTGCGCATCCACGATTCCGCACCCCGCGGGATTCGAACCCAGGACCTATCAGTCTCGTGCCAGGCGTTTAACCTCTAGATCACAGACGAAATTCAACGGTTTTAATGTCTAACTTAAACCAATCCACGAAATTGCGCGATGCTCTAATTGACCAATTACTTTATTTCATCTTTTAGGAGATCGGATAATGTTTTCTAATGGTAACCTTGTATCTGTACTTTGTTTATTTGGTTGATAAAGCAATCGGACCAGTTCGCTATGTGAATACGCTGAGCAGTGGAAAGATAATGTTTCCGCATCTATTCAACACAGATCAGCTTGTGCTTAGGTGTGATATTCCTATATTCGATACATATTTATGTCAAATCTAGTGTTTTCTATGACTAATTGACTTATTGGAAACAACTCAAGAAATAGGTTATTTCTGAAATCATTTTCATCTTCTAAATCTTATTACAACTAACTTTTTTATATAATACTTAACCCATTTTCAAAGGCAATAGTAGTTCGTTTTATTCCACACAATAATCTGCAATTCTTTTTATGTGATAAGGTTAATAGGTTTAGTCGATTTTGTTTCAAAGTGTCTATTAAAAATCATAGTTTTAGAGTAACTAATTAAAACTGTTGTTCGTTAATCTCTGCTACATAAACAGCTGTATATTTGCTAGTTGTGGTTGACTACTGATAAAACAGGTCTAGAATCAGACCTGAAAACCAGGTCTTCTTTTTATTGACAAAAATTCCCTCATGTGCCGCGAATTTGCGGAAAAATCTTCAAAGTTGCCTTCACAACTATGGATACAATCACAGAAGACATGCTCATGATTTTGCCCAGACTCCATAGACCCTTCAACAGCACCGTATATTTAATTCTTACTCATGAGACTTTGAAACAACTTGAAGTAATCTCCATGATTTTTGAAATGACGTCACCATCGAATTCCAAAACAGTACTCCCGGTAGTAGCACGCAGTTTACAGCAAACAGCACATCAATCATATCCATTTACCTCATCACTTTCAGTCAAATAGGAGGGTGAGGTGATATGTAGATATCATTAACCGAACACTTACAAAAGCCAAAGCGAAGATTTGTTGGCAGATTGTTTCATAGTCCGGAAGGTACGAACAAGTTTCGACCCTTTGTTGTTATCAAAACGGTAACTTCCCCCCTTACTGAATCTACGCCTGAAGTCAAAGCATGTGCTATAGATTATCGGTCACAACATTCTCTGTGAACTCAGGGTAACCAGTAAAAGGGCAAGGGTCGATAATCTATTAGGTGCATCTCGGAAAAAGTATTCAGATCAAACACATTAAGGCAACCGGTTGAAACCTTTGACCACTTGCTATAGTCCGCTACGTAGATAAGATCACCATATCGGGATATTCAGTAGTTTATTTTGAAACAGATTGCCATATTGAATGTGTTTATCCTCACCTACGTTCTCTTATTGGCTTATTTTAATAGCATACTTTTCTGTTTGATAATTTTGTCTTCTATCCTATTGCATAATGTATTTATCCGACAACCTACATTCAGTTCAGTCTCTGTTCTATAATATTCTTTAAATTATGAGATTTTGTTTTAAAATTATTATTTAGAAAGCCTTAAGCGAAATTGGCTCTGAATGGGATCAAAATCGTCGCCTGATCACATTAAAACCGGGTGGATCTGGCGCGTATGGTGCAATTCCTCCGAAATTTGCTTATTTAGCTGTAGAGTTCGGTACTACAAATGGTGGTTTCGCACGTATTTTAGATGAAGAACACGAAATATCTTCATATTCTGGACGTGTAAGGATTTTCATTTGAGTTAATCGTATTGTCACAATTTGACTAAAATCGGTTTGAATGACCTACATTTACCTCGATAAGTAAATAGCTAAAAAGCGCCAGTAAAAACTGCATATGGCCTACAAAAAAAATACGACTATGATAAAATAAAATCTCATTCAGCTGTCGAATCAGCACCATGAAAACAGTTACTAAACACCCTCAGGTCAAAAGTTACAACTCTTTATCATTCATGTCAATCTTCTATTATTCTAATTTGCTTAAATAAATGAGGCAGGTTTCATCATATGAAAATCTTTACAAATCATGTTAACAATGATCTTAAGAATATAGAAAATTACGTTCTGATCACATAAAAATGCAATGTGACTACATCATTAAAATTAAAAATGTCCAGCAAATGTTAGTAGTTAATTGACTTTCAAGGTTTATAAAAAAAATCGAAATGACAAACTGATAAACAGTGGAAATTAACATTTCCCTTTTATGATTGTTTATCAATAACAGTCTTTTATGTAGAACATTCAAAATTAATCTTACTGTAATTAGATTTTTTTTATGACATTTTTATGAGTTTACACATTAAATTAATAATATTTTTTGTAAATTAAAGATTGTCTTTGAATGATTTCGATTTGTAATTTTATATCGGTCAATCATAAACGACAATGTCAAGTTTGACAAAAATAGTTAGTATTAGTATAAATCTTCACATCACAACATTAGAACAAAGGAATGAAGTATTAACAAGATGTTACATTAAACGAGTTGAACTTATTATAGTAAGAATGATATTAAAGAATATTGAGTATTAAAAAAATATGGTTGGTGAAGAGGAGAACTACTAAAACCATCATCAAGAAGGTACAAGTATTTATCTACGCATAATACTCAACATCTATTGACCGGATACCATCAGCAACAGCCTTCTGTGGGAGAGAACAAACCAGCTTCCAGCTGAAGAGGAAATTAGGAAAAGACAATGGAAATGGATAGGACATACATTACGCAAATAATCAAACTGCATCACGAGGCAAGCCCTAACTTGAAATCCTGAAGGGAAGCGGAAAAGAGGAAGGCCAAAAAACATATTACGTCGGGAAATAGAATCTGATATGAAAAGGATGCATAACAACTGGAAAGGATTGCCCAGGTCAGGGTTGGATGGAGAATGCTGGTTAGTGGCCTATGCTCCTTCACGAGGAGTAACAGGCGTAAGTAAGTATGAAGAAATATTGGAATTTACAATTTAGTTTAAGATAAAGAGTAAATGTAACTGGGCTATTGTGATCGATTCTGACCCAATATCACACAATATTCAAATTAATGTTCATAATAATCCTAAACGTTCTGAATATTTAACAAAAAGATATTTCTATCACTTAATGGAATATAAAAACCATGTATTTCCGAATTTTGTGAAGAAAAGCTTGAAAATTGTCTGATTAGCTCAATCCTATTCGCTTTTTATTCACTATTTCTCATAACACAGTTTTTTATTCATGTTTAATTATGGTAAAATAAATTGTAAAATTCGACTTATATTTTAAAATTGTCATTTTATCAAGTTCCTTATTAATTCCATTCTAACAGGAAATTATAGCTGGTGCACTAGACAAAGAGCCTCGTCTATGGCGTAAACCAAAATTGGAGAATTTTGAACATTTACGTCAAAAGGTTGTAACTTTTGAAAATCTATGGCATACATACGATAAATGGCAACAGAATAAACTAAATACTCATTCTTCAAATGATGCACAAATAATTAATGATAGAGAGTCAGGTTCAAACAACAGTGAATTTGAACCAGAAGGTCCCGCTTTACCTCCAGGATATTGAATTTTGTAAATGTATCATATATATATATACAGTGTACATATATTCGTTATTTTTTGCTAGTTTCAAAGTATGAATAACTAGATTCATTCTGCACATATCGTTCCTGAGTGAATCGTTATTTTCTATATTTAAAAATATTTTTAATCATGTATTCGGTAGTTTTTTCTAGTCCTGGATCAAGGAAGTTATTTATTAAAAACATGTGATATTTTGATTACTTAAAGGTAGTCAACAGAAAACCTTAAATTTAGGTTGGCACTCGTCAGCAAATAATTTAATTTATATTAATAACAAGAAATAACATCAAATGTTAGTATCAAAACAATAGTATGTCATTTCTTATTATTCGAAATAGAAAATACACAAAATGAAAAAAAATATAATCTAACTCAGTATTACTGATTTCATTGAGCGGATTTAATGCGATAATCGGTAAAAATCTGTATTGATGTGATAGCTACCTACCCGGAACTTTAAATCTCACTGAACCATAAAATATAATAAAACATAGTTTGATGTATCAAGTATTCATATATTTTGTAAAAATATTACTCATTATATATCCGCTTGTAAGGAATATAAAATAATGATAAAGAAAGTAGTAAGATAAAATGTATGAATAGGTTCAACAATAGGATATATTGTCTATTAGACTTCTTTAGATCACATAACACCATGATTTGAAGAATTGCTATCTCATAAGACAATCACTTTGACTTTTGATTTCTAATGACTGTTTCTTATCAACCTCCATTCATTCACAGATTCTTGTTTAAATTTTAACTTTTCTGAACGTGATTGTATGGCTTTAGCTTTGTTCTTAAATGTGCCAATTTTCTCCTAATAGTTGGAGATTTCTTTAAATCAGGAAGTTTAAGCTTCAAGTTTCACAGTGAGCATGATGCCGAAAATATCTTAGGCACATTTCCTGTTATTGATGAAACTACATAAACACTTCTCTTGAATGAAGAAACTGTCAGCTACATCACTGAATATAAGTTCTTTCAAAATAAGATCAAGTTAATTGATAATTTATGCATGTGGTTTCTTTTTTCACGTTGAAATTAAGGAACGAATTCGATCAATTATTATTGTAATCCACCCATCTTGAGCAGATTCGCCTCAGTTTGGAATTTTATAAAGTTGGATTTTGGCTAGCAGCTAAATCCAGAATACGCGTTTTGTCCTATGTAAAGCCTGTCAGTTGGACGTACCTAAATCCTAGTATTAACACGTGCATATTCAAACTCTAACTAAATACCGTTTGTTTTAATACATGAGACATCTTGTAGCTGAGTTTACAATAGCTTGAATCGAGAAACCAATACAATTTTGAATGCATAGGTGTACATTTGTAAGAGATTATGATATAAATGACTACTTCACAGATTAATATGATAGGAATGACTTTTCAATTATGTTTTTTAAAATCAGCTTATCGATGTTTCCTTATACTGGTCTACATTAATTCAATTAATAAATAACTATAATACCATATTATGCTCTTAATCTATAACATTTAACATAACCTAATTTGTTATTGTTAATTAATATAGATGTAATTTATTCAGGTATCTATACGTTTTTTAAAATCAACTTTCAGACTCAATGAATAGCTTTAATCCAGCTAAATGATAATTTAATTGATTCCCAATATGTTTTTAAAATAATTATCTTGTTATTAAGTTCAGTTTGTATTGATGAATAGGGAAGAGGACTTTTTTTCCTATACGACAATTACAGAAATAACAATCATAATTTTGATATTAAGTAAATAAACTCTGAGAAAGTGTGTGTGTGTGAGAGAGAGAGAGAACAACAACAGTAAACAGACAATCTTATTTCCCGTTAGTAAAAACTACTACCAATTCAATACTGTATAATAAATCAAATATAAGAAAGAGATTGTTTTAATAAAGATGAAAGTGAATAAAACTTTCAGTAAATGATAAATAATTTTCAAGGCAAGCAGACAACACAATATTAATTTTTTTTAAAAAAAAAACAATCAAGAAAAATTAGTATTAATACAAAGAATAATAAATAGAAATGCATAATTATTCTGGGAGAAAAATAAACCTGAAAAAAAATGGAAATAATATCGTGGATCAATTAAAATTGACAACGATGTTATTATGTATATGGGCAGATGTGTTATGGATCGGAAAAATAGGAGCGAATATATATATGAGTACAATAGATTATCTGTGCGAATATTCAATCCTGTTAACGTGTGATTACATATTAAAATAAGTAATATTATCCCAATGTTTTAAAGAAATAAGTAAACAGAACACAAAAAATACGAGATAAAATAAGATGACCATCATCATTAGTTTATTTATAATGGAGGCGTTTTTTCAAAACCATATATATAAAGACATCTGACTATATATGTAAATAAAACCTAGTTCAAAGAGAAGTGAAATCATTGGGATTTCCCACAATATATGTACGTACAAGTTGCAAATTCCTATGAGATTATTATTGTATATATTGTGAATCAGATCATTTCATCGGTTGATAAACATTGTCAATACTCACAGAAATAAATGCTCCAGATACAACAAATAAGAGATTAAATGTATAATATACACAACCAAGTAAATTCTCTTTATCATATATACCGAGGAATAATTTGTCCTGTCAATAGTCGGAAGACTGAGGTAGGCATTGTTCGAATATGTATCTTTATTGATAGAAAATTGAACAAAAAGAAAAAATACGATGATGAGATTGTTTGTATACAGAATTTACATTAGTTTAATTTTATTATTGGTCAAAATAAACTGAATCGTGTAGACAGCTATTAAAAGAAAATTCCGATCTGGAAAGGACAAAATATGTAAGCACCGTTTGACTCCAATATTAACGATTCTGAAAATTACATCTATCATATTGGTGTAAACCTTTGCTAGCACTAAGTTAGATGGGACAATGCTGCGGTTAGTGTGGTTCGCTTAGCCGCATGGACTGATGATTTGTATGCATTCGTGTGTGTAGGCTATTAAGTAATCAATCGGTAGATGAATACAAGGAAAGATACCGAATCGAGACGAGAATGAACATTACTGAATTATTGGTGAGTCGCATATAGCCAAAGGCGTTTCATATTATCAACACAACAGTACAAGTGATTTGTGGTTCAGTAGGTTACACACGGGTGTGTCATTATGAGCCATAAACGAAGAAAGAAATATACATATATATGAGATGTAATATGCTATAAAAACCACCCTCGAAATGTAGATACAAATACAATATGAAGTAAAATTGCACCCACAAGTCAGTCAGTAACAACATAGAACTTCGTACGTATGTGCATCAGTTCGAGTTGCCATGCCACATTAGCACAGAGATGCAGTTATCGATTCAAATCCCGTAGTGCTAGATGTAGTAAAATTATAAGATGTAATCAGAAAAATTAGGGTTTGAAGATGTTATCCAGGAAGTATAATCCAGTGAAATAAATTTGTGAAGAGAAAAAAGAAAGGGGCATGAAGAATTCAGAAGATTAGAATTTGGGAGAACAAACAGTGGATGCACCTGCGCCATCGCAAATGATTTTGAGCCATGCCATTCAGGGTCTCTAATCATCGGTTGCTATCATCTCGCGATCCCCAACCAGGTAGTCTACACCTAACAACATGACTCAGTCCACTTGTCAGTGACTTCATGGACTTGTGCCATGTTTTGGTCTGGCCGCTCCTAGCTTTCTTCCAATCTACTCCTACATCATAAAATATCGCTCGTCGGAGCAGTCGGTGGTTGGGCATACGTAACACGTGTCCCAGCCATGTCAACTGATGAAGTTTCACTACTTCATCAATTGATTTGCCATTCTTACCTAGTACTTACTCGATGGTCCCAGGATATACTAGCAATGTTTCGAAGACACTTATGATCAAATACTAGTAACCTACGAATATCCTCTACTGTTACCGGCCATGTCTCACTACCACAAAGTACGACGGAACGAACTGCTACGCAGTAAACCCGTCCTTTGGTTGATAGACGGATATCTCGCCTACGACATAAATGGTGCAAGTTGGTAAAACTAGTCGCGCCTTCTGTATCCGTGCTGAGATTTCGTCACACACCAGACCACAAGGGCTGATGAGACTTCCGAGATAAGTGAAGCGGTCGACACGCTCAACTACTTCACTCCCTATTATTAGTTCGGGTGACGATGCAACCCGGTCATGAAGCAAAATTTTGCATTTCGAGGGGGGGAATCCCATCCCGAACATGCTTGCATTGTTGCTTATTGTGGTCAGAAGACTGCATTTTGTCAGCGTCTTCACCAAATAGAACTATGTCGTCGGCATATTCTAGGTCAAAAAGTGAATCTGCGGTAGAAGTTCAACCTCTGGAAATTTAGTTGAGGAAAGTGTCATTTCTAAAAGCACGCAAAAAAGTGCAATGATCTAGACAGTCATTTGAAAACGTAATTCATAACTGCTGCGTCTCATGTTTGGTCAACGCTCCACCTAATTGGACTTAGCTTAGTAGTGTTATTACAGTAGGGACAGGAAAAATTCCCGTTTTATTGGCTATAAATGAGTATGTACTTTTTACTCTTCTACGTGTATGCGCTGCACTATTACACACTTGTCTAGTTGAAAGTGGCAGAGATGTAGTAAAAAACTTCCACTTAAAGTAATTTACATGTAGGTTAGTACTTATTTTATTTGTGTAGTTAATTGCGGGAATGATTTTAATTTTGGAAGTTTTCTTGACTGAGTGATCTTAGCCGTTTCATAAGTTAAGTGATATCACTAATAACACTGGATAATCATCGCATCATATCACGAACTGATTGAAATGGGCCAGTTGATTCTGACCCTGAGTACCACAAATAACATGATCGCCGTGAGTAGTTATTATCTTGGATTTAACGCTTAGTAGAGTTTGTGGGTGAAAACAATTTCGAATTAGAACAGAACACTTGTCCATTACTATTTCCTATTTGATTTTCAACGTTTCATGAGCTGAAATTAGTAGTAGGTAACAGAAATATTAAGTCAAATTATATTTACTTAGGTATATAATCTCAGGGGAACTTCTGTTATGGAGAACAAAATGCTCCACATACACAAGGAGTTGCATTGATGCTGTCCAAACAAGCACAAAATGCACTTATAGGATGGAAATCTTATAGACCAAGGATCATTAAAGCCTCCTTCAAAACAAAGAGGGCATTTCAATGAACGTCATCCAATGCTATGCGCCTACCAACGACTGACATTAAGACGTTAAAGATCAATTCTACGATAGGCTGCAGTCAATCGTCGAGAAGTGTCCAACAAAGGACTTGACCATTCCTGATGGGAGACCTAAATGCCAAGTTTGAAATAGACAACACCGAATATGAAGACATCATGAGACGACATGAACTGGGGAAAAAACATGAAAATGGTGAGAGATTTGCAAACCTATATTCCTTAAAAAAACTGGTCATAGGTGGCACTATATTTCCATACAAACGCATACACAAAACCACATGCACTTCACCGGATCACACTACACAGAACCAAATCGACCATATCGGCATCGTAAAAAGTTCAGAAAGACGATGGAGGATTTAAGAACCAAGAAAGAAGTTGATAAAGCATCAAATGATTACTTGCTGGTCGCCAAGATGAAAATGAAACTTAAGAACCACTGGACAACGGGACAGACAACATCACAAAAGTTCATAAGACCTTTCTTCAGGATACTAACAAACCCAACAAATTCAAGATAGTCCTCAGCAATAAGTTCCAGGCCTTTCATGATCTACTCAATGGAGAAGAAACTACTGTGGAGAGCGACTGTAAGGGGATTAAAGAGGCAATCACTTCAACATGTCATGAGGTCCTGGGTCGCAAGAAGCACCATCGCAAGGAATGGATCACTGTTGATACACTGAAAAAGATTCAAGATAGGAGGAACAAGAAGGCAGCAATCAATACCAGTCGAACAAGAGCAAAGAAAGCCAAGGCACAAGCTGAATACACAGAAATAAACAAACAAGCGAAGAGGAGCATTAGAACCGACAAATGTAAATATGTGGAAGATTTAGCAATGACAGAGGAAAAGGATGCAAGAGAAGGAAACATGAAACAACTGTATGACACGACAAAGAAACTCTCTGGAAATCACCATAAACCAGAACGACCTGTGAAAAGCAAGGTAATCACCAACATTGAAGAACAACGAAACAGGTGGGTAGAACAATTCAAGGAATTCTTAAATCTATCATCTCCACTGAACCCACCCAACATCGAAGAAGCACACACAAAAATCCCAACCGATGTTGGCCCACTAACAATTGAAGAGATCAGCATGGCCATCAGACAAATCAACAGTGGCAAACCAGTAGGATCAGACAACATTCCAGCAGAGGCACTAAAAGCAGACGTAGCAGTAACTGAAAAGATACTCCGCATTCTCTTCAATAATATTTGAGATTAATAACAAGTATCAACCGACTGGAAAGAAGGACAGCTCATCAAAATACCAAAGAAAGGCGATCTCAGCATGTGTGATAACTACAGGGGCATCACTCTTCTCTCAATACCAGGAAAAGTCTTCAACAGGGTATTGTTAAACAGAATGAAGGACTGCGTAGACGCCCAACTTCGTGACCAACAGACAGGATTCCGTAAAAATAGATCGTGTACAGGCCAAATCGCAACTCTACGGATCATTGTGGAACAATCAATTGAATGGAATTCATCACTCTACATCAGCTTCATTGACTACGAAAAAGCATTTGATAGAGTGGACAAAACAACACTACGGCATGACTCAGAAGATAGTCGATATCATAAAGAATTCATATGATGGATTAAACTGCAAAATCGTGCATGGAAGACGATTGACAGACTCGTTCAAGGTGAAGACCGGTGTCAAGCAAGGTTGCTTACTGTCACCCTTTCTCTTTCTCCTGGTGATCGACTGGATCATGAAGACGTCAACATCTGAAGGGAAACGCGGGATACAGTGGACATCTAGGATGTAGCTGGACGATCTAGACTTCGCAGATGATCTGGCCCTCATTTCGCAATCGCAACAACGAATGCAGGAGAAGACGACCAGTGTAGCAGCAGCCTCAGCAGCAGTAGGTCTCAATATACACAAAGGGAAAAGCCAAATTCTATGATACAACACAGTATGCACCAATCCAGTCACAATTGGCGGAGATTTGGAAGATGTAAAAACCTTTACATATCTGGGCAGCATCATTGATGAACATGGTGGATCTGATGCAGATGTGAAGTCGCGGATCGGCAAAGCAAGAGCAGCATATTTACAACTGAGGAACATCTGGAACTCAAAACAACTTTCAACCAACACCAAGGTCAGAATTTTCAATACAAATGTCAAGACAGTTCTATTGTATGTAGCAGAAACCTGGAGAACTACGAAAGCCATCATACAGAAAATACAGGTGTTTATTAACGCAAAATACATCGAATCCGTTGACCAGACACTATCAGCAACAACCTATTGTGGGAGAGAACAAACCAGATCCCAGCGAAGGAAGAAATCAAGAAGAAGCGCTAGAAGTGTATAGAACACACATCGAGGAAAGCACCCAACTGCGTCACAAGACAAGCCCTCACATGGAATCCACAAGACCAAAGGAAAAGAGAAGGACCAATGAACACATTACGACGAGAAATGGAGGCAAACATGAGAAAAATTGGATAGAACTGGGAAGGAAGGCCCAGGACAGAGTGGGTTGGAGAATGCTGGTCGGTGGCCTATGCTCCATTGGGTGTAACTGGTGTAAGTGAGTAAGTAACGTATATAATCATTTGATGAGTAGGATAAAAATGCATAGTTGTAACGTCAAGTGTGAAAAAAATTGAGTTACATTTGAACTAAATGAAATTTTTAATATTAATTTTAACAAATTATATTTTCACACACTTACTTCACCAACTGAAGTAGCCAGAAGTTGTACAATTTTTTCATGTGATACAGCAACTACACTTTCACCATTAATTTCAATAATTCTATGATCTACACGAATTCCACCACGTTCAGCAATACCACCACGAAGTAGGCTACAAATTACACCATCTTGTACACTGAAACCAAGTTGATAATTTAAACTAGGACGACGAATAAGTACTTCAACAACAGGTGGACAACTGATTATCATTAATTTTACGATTGTAGATTGCCGACAATTCTGTAAAGATTATATAAATGTAAAACTGTTTTTTTTAGAAAACGTCTACCTTGATGATGACTTACACTACACCATTAATAAAAATGTCCAATTAATTTAATTCATCAAATTAGGTAGTCCATTGTCCATATGATTTCATAACTAGCAGGGTTTAGTCACAAAGGGATTTTCCAGAATACTCATACAACCTCCAAGACACTGATAAATTACTCTATTACAACAAAGCATTGAAGAGAACTAAAATATTATAGAGATAGAAAAAGTCTGGCCAGTCTTCAGAGAACATTCACAAGTTGGATATACGGTTGCAAACTTAAGTAGAAGGTATTTACACGACAACTCTTCCCCCAGGTATGCCAGTCATGGGAATGAATTACACCTGCCTGTCGAGATACAAATACCGTTGTTATCATGTAAGGCTCAGAACCACGTACCATAAATCCGTAATTTTCGTAGTCGTCTCGCCGATGCATATCGCCTAGTTAAAACCAACTTGTTGCAGGGCAGCAAAGAGTAAACATACTGGAAGAAGAGGAATAAGCCTTACGTAAGCTGAACCTGCAGAACGATGGATAAAACTGTTTTGTAATAAGTTTAACCTTTTTGTACCCGAACCGCGTCTTTTAATTTTAAAAAATAAATCTGTTGTGCTAGTACGCCGCGTTCTTACGTCAGAGGCATTTACCGGTCTTGACTGCTGTGTTGTTGTTTCAGATCACTCCTGCTTCCAAGTAAACGCTAAAATTACGTGTGCATCTGGTGATGGAGATGGGATTAGAACCCACGTTAATGGGGCATGACAAGTATATATATCTCAGATTCTATATTGTGCATCACTGATGAACTGACTAAACTATCCTTAAGGAGGAATACACAAAATGGCATAACCTCTCAATGTAGTTGCATAATAACCCTATTTTATTTGACCTATAAAAAACGTCTTTATTATTACACACCTTAAGTCTTAATGAGAATTCAAATAAGAACACACTGTATCATCGTGATCAAAATTAAATGTGAGATGGTAAAGATTTGAAGCTCAGGTGGATGATGAAAGCTCCCTGACCTAACCATTTAGCTTAGAGAATAAAACTCCACCAAAATTAAATGTAACAAACAATTAACATTCAAAATTTACCTTAATTATTTGTTGACATGTTAAAAGTGGCAGGCCAACTAAACTTTGCCCATTAACAGCGACAATTTGATTTCCGATATTCAGTTGTCCACATCGTGCAGCTGGACCAGTTGGATGCATATTAGCTAATAAAGCAGTTGGTAGTAGACTGCCCCAACCAGATTCTACAATTACGACACCTAATGATTCACCTTTTTGTTTAGGTATAGTAACCTGTAAAAATTAAGTAAAACATTTAGATTATGAATATATATAAATACATATTAGGGGATCTGAGGGTGAAGTCAGTCAGTCAGTTATCTACAACGCAGGACCAGGCACATATGCGTTGGTCCAAGTTGCCATACCTCATTAGCACAACTAGATGAACACCGGATTCATAGTAGTTATTTCAATGATAGTACTATCCAAAAAAGATTGCATACAAGGATATGCTATAGGGAGAAAGAAATAGTTTGTAGGAAGGAAGGTATAGAGTAATTTTAATCTCATGGTTTAACGGAAGACATCTAAAACATCTAAAGATATTTGTATGAGTTAGAGTATAATCACGGCCGATTTCCTACAGAAACTGTATCGGTAATTCTTGTTTAGATTTCAATGGACATTTCCTAATTCACGTTTTTCATCAAGTTGAAGGTTATAAATAAATTTATCAATTAAAGACTTGGTGCATGGGATTCAAATGAATGAATCAAACGCTGAGTATTTATTTTTTTACCGCTACAAAGATAATACAAGATTATAAGTGACACAACAGTTATTGTACTCCTTTGTGATTATTAACGCCATTATTACTGTTACTCATAGTTTACATTGAAAACTAGGAAGCCCTAAATAGCGCTGTTGCGTTTTAGAAAAAAGCTCCTTCATAGAATACAACCATGTCAAGTTTAAGACAAGTTTTGAACTCAATACTTTAATAGATCGTAGCGAGTATGTTACTTTTAGGCTGTTAAGTCAAAATGATTTGATTTCAGTCGATTTGCGATAATAATAATAATAACAATAATATATTATTATTATTATTATTATTATTATTATTATTATTATTACAACTAAGATAATCAAAACACAAACTGACTGAATACTAGAGTAGTCAATGGATAATCTAGTTAAACCACTCACTAAACAAAAAATATGATTCATTCAAGCAAATTGTAGAACATTGAAATCGATTTTAGTTATTCTTATCACTAAACAAAAATGAAAAGAAGAAACATACCTCTTTATGATTATCTTTATCACAAAATAAAGAAAGTTCATCACAGAATATTTCTTGTTGTTTTAAAATATCATCATAATCTAATTGTTTTATAATGCCTAAATCTTCAATACCATTTTCTCGTAGAAAATCTAAGTAAGCAAGTTGAAATGCGTGTCCAACTGTTTGAGCAATTAATTGAGCCTTAAATGACAGGAATAAAAGGATACCAAATGAATTAATTCAATCCACTAATAATAGGTTTATGTAATTATCAGACTTAAAGAAAATTAAAGTTTACTTATGCATTAAAATCATTAATTATTCTTTATAGTGTAGATGTTGTGTTATTGACAGCCACTACCGTTTTGATGTGATGATGAATGTTGTTGATAAGTGATTTTTATATATTCAAATTGCTACCTTTGAAGAGATTACGATATCAGCTAAAACCGGTGAATGGAACGAAAGTCAGTAACACAACAACAAAACAAGCTAAACTATTCCACTGTGCCCCAATCCTGCTAACTTGAGGGAGAAAACCAGATTCAACCAAGGTAAAAGTATATTCCACAAGCAGTCTAATGCATGAATGAACAAGCACACAACTCATACGTACACATACAGTACAAAAATGTCCTTGGAAAACGTCAAAAAATAGAGTACTAAAAGAGGAGACAAACCAATGACATTTAAGGTCCTTCCAAGTGCGAAATACAAACTGAAGATAAAAGTATGCACTTTTAGAGTGAAAGTGAGAAACTCAAACTCCCAAAATAAAATGACCAAAAAGAGACATTTACCAAGTGATTTCTGGAGATCTAGCATCCCCAACACAAATGTATGCATACATTGAAGCAATTAGACAAAGAAATGACACAATATCATATTATATTAATTATGAGAATGCTGATGATAGTTCTCAAAAATCCAGATCCTGACTAAGTTGTATTAGTTTTCACCTTTCAGCAGTAGTTCCCACAATAAAATATAATTCGGTTAAAATTAGCTGAAAATCAGTTGTTAGATCCTTTTCACTAGAATACCATTATTTTAAAAATAATAAGACAACTTAGTATAGAAGATATAACCGATTATTCACAAAAAAATTTTTTTACTTAATATTCCCACGGATATGTGATTTATCCTTGATATTTGCCAAATTGTTATTCGACTCATAAAGTTAATAGTGATCTGACAATTTAATCGCGCTGTGCTAACGAGGTTTGGCAAATTGAACCGCTTTACAAATATGCTAGGTTCTATGTTGCGTATAACTGATTGACCGAGCAGTGCACTGAAGTCTCGAATCTTTAGAAGCTTCAGTAATACACACTAATACATTTGATCACTAATCAATCAGAACAAGGTAGGGATAATTAGTAGTTTGACAGACCTTGTTCAGAAAGTTCCACAGTACATTAACTAATCAGAGAATCTTCGACATTTTCACTGGCTTGTGAATGATTTTTTCAAGGACTTCTAACAGCAAGGCCTTAAAAGTACGGAACTAACGCATCAAGAACTACTCCCAAAAAACCTGTGTCCAAACGGCCTTAAACACTTATCCCTTGGGCTTTGAGATCACGCTCCCCACTCAAAAAGACCACTAATAATCTAGTTTTCGATTCAGACACTTTAAGAAAAATATATCCTTCCATGGTGTGGGCAATGAGGAAGTTGGAGACGCTCTCATTAGAGATCTCCTTATTCACGATCATATACCTTCACCACTTAATATTTCTCTTAATCCTACTATCAACTCTTTTCCTATGGCATCACCTTTATCCTAGCACGCTACTAACGCTAACAATTCAAGTTTACGAAGTATTATTATTTCTACTGAAACTATGCTTCTAACTACATGTTGGTGCTTTTAATGTTCGAAACTTCGATCAAATCGAACAACAGACTGCATTAGCTAGGACTTAGTAATAATAATAATAATAATACGTAGCTACCAGCTACAAACTTTATACAATTTCTTGATATTTACATATGTTATGTCATTGACTATGGTTCATTTATTTTTTTATATCAACAAAATAAGACTTCCATACTACACGAATTTGATAACATACAAAACGGAATTAATAAAAATACACACACGTCATGACAATAAGGAAAAAAAGTAAGTACATACTTCTGTTGATTCTAACACATGACAAATCATTTTCATTGGCTTTTTTAATTTTTCTATCATTGTTGATTTTGTAACGCTGGAAATATTTGAATTCGGTGGTACTACTGAGTGTTGTTGCTCAGTATTATTATTATCAGCGTTATAATTTGAATTTTCTTTCGGTTCATTATTCTGATAATTAGACGTAAAATAATTTTCAGACTCATCTGATTGTGTTGAAGGATCTAATCGACGTGACATTAGAACAAATAAATCGCCAATATCAGCAATATATGAAACTGCACGTAATTTATGATCAATCAAAATATCCTATGACAGATTGAATAAAAGATAAAAAAGAACTTATTTAAAGGATTTTTTAATTTGTTGCCCTTTTTTCATTTTCTTTATTATTAGTGTCAATAAATACATATGAAAATATCCCAAGTAGTAGGACGGAGATTGTAGAAAACATTAGATCTAGGTTTTGTTGCCACTGACCTATTAGGGCCAATCATACGTGCCTCAATGATATGTTAATTAGGTTATTGCCGAGTAAATAAAATATTTCTTGAAAACAATTGTGGTAACTCGTTAATGAGTTATCCTTATCACCCTGTTGATAGAATGGAAAAACGGTAGTATAGTTTAGCAATCAAACATAATCGTAGGAAATTGGCTTTGAACTAAAACGCATTTGCTTAAACAAATTAACCTGTTAATCAGCTATTTAAAGAAACGTCGATAGAGAATTCTCAGAGGGTTGAAATCTTTTTAACATTTCAAACATTAAGTCATCGTGAATTCATTGTGTATTGTTTGTTCGAGTCTTCTCATTGATGTTTATGACTGCAACTGACCAGTCACTTATTAGCATATGTGAATCCTGTGCTGATTGCCTCAATATCGCTTTAAGTCACAGGCACTATAAGCAAAGTAGATGGTGGATAGAAGTGGAATCCAGGACGCGTGATTCGTCCTATTTGGGACTCTAAGAGTGAACATCAACTCCGTAATGCGGATAAATTCACCTGACGAGTCCCAAACAGGACGAAACGCGCGTCCCGGATTCCACTGCTAGTCACGACTCGTCTTTGCTTATTAAGACATCGATTCTCAAGCAAAATAAAGAAAATTATAGTCAAATAAGTCTATCAATCTTTTTAGGTATACAGAGATCCTTAAAACACACACACCATGGTATTGCTCCTGCACTCATATACTGATGATATATTTTTATAGAAGCGAGAAGTAGGCTCAAGGAGAAATTTCTTATTCTATCCAGGATTTATTGGAAACTGATGGACTCAATACTGATTATTAGCATTGGATGACTTCGTAGTACTGTGATGGATAACGCTCAGTGATTTGAAGTCACAGACAATTAATGTGAATTCGAGGGGAGGGCATATCATAAATCACTTACTTTGTCATGACTACATTCTTTTATTTTGAACTGAGACGTTTTTAGAAGAAAAATATTCTGTACTTTCTTCTAGACAAAACTCTTTGTTAGAAGATCGAAATTAAAGAATTTTGATGATAATCTTGATGTTATCTTTTGTACGCATACACTGAGATAAAAACCAGTCAGTTATAATCAATTCTTCCGATTGATAAATTAGACTGAAGCAAAGACAAGCATGTTAAAGTACGGTGAATTCATTAATTTATTACACAGTTTCCCAACTGATGACACCTCAGTTGTATTTACCAGTACACAATGGAAGAGCAGAAAAAAGAGTTCTTGTTTATATCTCGTACCATAATCCACAAAATTGAGGTTAAAAAGTTAGAATATTTTCAATAGTACCATTGCTCGTCATGTACTTGATAATGGACACAACGTTGACATCTTAAAATCATTCAAAATAATCGATACTACGTTGGGCTAAGGCTATCGCTCATTGAAAATGAACCAGCCTATTTAAACCGACACAGTTGTAAATTTTACACTACCCTGGTAACTTATATTCTTCATTATTCAATAGCGTGGTATCTTATTTCATATTCTCAAGAGTAAATTCCTTCCCTTCATCCTTGGATGTTTCTGTTCGTCTTACTCTACTAATCTGTCTAATGTTATAGCTATCGTTAAATAACGCTAATGTCGATGTTCCTTATCAGCTCAGGAAACGAAACTCCACCAAAATCATCCGCCTGAATTACAAATCTTCACCATCTCTAGAATTAGCAAAATATAAATATCCATCCATTTTATTATTTTCTAATTCTTCCATAACTGTTATCGCTATTCGACTTAATCTTCATTTAAATGATATAAAATATGTGCATTAGTTGTAAATAATTTGCACTATTTTTTCTAGGTTGTAAGCAGCTGACAAGTATCCAAAAAATAAATGATAAATTCACCTTGTTCTGTTACGCTTATTGTTTTTTGCTTTATTCATTGTCATAATCGACGTAAAAACTACATAAATGAGCATTTAGTTCAAGTTGTCATGACACATCAACATAATAAGATTTAATTAACGAAATGAATAGCAATGATAATGAAAAATACTAAACATTGAGTATATGGTTCAAAAAGACTGAATCAAGTGGCGTGTATGAAGGAATCTGGGAAATAAAAATCTAACGAAAGATTAAGAGTGAATGCACCTGGGTCACTGCGAATGATTCTAAGAAACATCCCCGATTATCTTCAAGCATTTATTGGGATGAGAGCGTGGACTCCAACCAACTAGTATGAATTAACAAAGATGGCTTAGTTCAATAGTAAGTGACTTCATGGACTGATAACATGGGCTGGCCGCGTCTAGCTTTCCTACAACAGCCATCATTGAGGGTCGAAAGTAGGTAGTAGTTGGGCATACGTAACACATGTTCCCAACGAATTTAGTATATGAAGATTCACAATCGATTTGCAACAGAGATAAAAACTAAACAGAAATAACATTTCGAAACAAATAAATATAGGAACTCACTTCAAGATTACTGTTTAATATCATAATACGTTCTGTTGAGACAAACAATTCAACTGTTACGCTAGGATGTGATTCGTCATCTGGAGCCTGAAGGTATAAAAACAAAACGACAATGACCATAAGTATTATTTTCGTGCACTAAATAGTTCCGATATGTTGCTAAATAAATAAAAGGTCACAGGATTTGGTCAAACTACAGTTTAAACATTGTCATCCAAACACTTTTGATTATTTTAGTAACATACGACTTGATTAAACATTAATACACTTTAAATGCAAATAAAAACGTACATAACAATGTATTGTATGCTCAAGCAGATATTATTTTAAACATTTTGCAAAGAAAAAAGTCACATTAACAACGTGGACAGTAAACATATACTGATGATATAAAAAAGAAAATACAATTAAATTATTACAAACATGTGGAACACATAGTATTATGGTTAGCTTTATTTAGAAATATGACAGTGGGTACCTCCCTCTAACACGTAGTTTAATTGTAACGAGCAGTGATATACGTTCACAGTAGTGATCTCATTCAGCTATAAAGAATATTTAAGATTTGGTCTATACTTTAAAATACAATGAGTAAACTATTTTACGCAAAAGTCAATCTAACAATAAAATTTATCAGTATTTGTAAATGTAGAATAACGACTACATAGTATTATTATAAATTTTAGTCATCACTACTCTGTAGAGGTAAATAATTCCCTAAACTAAATAGCCTTGTAAGCATTCGACATGAATGTTGGCGTTTTCAGTTTCACTGGATACCAACTAGCTGAAAATATTCGGTCACGTATCATTACTAGGTTAGGTCACAAGTTACCGCGCAACTCTGTTCTCCTACACTAACTAGACGGTTTTAAAGTCACGGGTAGCATTACCTGTATATATAATCATATATATTTTCCCCTCTGACCATCATCAATTTTCTTATTTATCATTTGGATCATTTCATCAGAACATATTTGGTTAATAGTATTACTCAACTCTGCCGTAACTAGGTTATCTCTACACTAATCCTCTCGGATCTTTAACTGTCATTTAACCTTATCACTGGGAATTTGATGAGTTTTATGGCTTCAATAAATTTAGTTTTATTGGTTATGGTGTAGCACGCACAATGCTGGTACTTAGAAATAATCATGTGAACTCAAGTGTTTAAAAGTTAACACATAGTATATATGTGTATATGTATCTCTCTTCTACATAATTGTGTACGCTAAGAACGAAATGATAAACACATGTAAGTATAACTCGAATAAATGCTAATACATATTGATACAAAAATATGCACACTGAGTACGTGTTAGAAAACAAACACGAATTTGCAAAGATACAACAACAATACAACATGCATTTCAGCTTACACCCTGGATTTAAAAAGAGAAAACAAGAAAAACGAAGAGTATCAGTTTAAAATCTCATTGGTCATGACGTGTATGCTTCCCTCTTCTCATCAGTTATGTTCTGCCTTTAAAAGATGGAAGTCTCTCAACCAGCAGTCACAACACTCAATAGTCCATTAGTCGGTTATAACTAAATTTCAGAACATCGAAAAAACATCCATCTATCTAATTTATCATATAGTTTGTTTCAGGGTTACGAGAAAAATTTCCCCCTATATTCATTAGGACAGAGACAATTGTGGCTAGACAGTAGCATAGTTGGACTTTAAAAATCCATACAAACAATGCCATCTCTTTATATTGATTCCATCCTAAAATGCATAATAGCGAAATTGTTATGCCAGTCACTGTCAGTCAAAAGCAGAGGGGAATCTTCTAATCAGGTTCACCGCTTCAAATTGTCACACCAAATCAAAACAGTGAGATGAAATCAAGATGAAAAGCGAAGTAGTAATATCATTAATTGTAAAAAAAGGATGAGGGATAGACGAAATGATTAGAAAATTGATTTATGGAATAAAAAGTATGAAATAATTTGAAACTAAGGATCTAAGGGAAGACAAATGATGGATGCATTTGGGACACTGAAACTGTTTATGAACCATGTCACCCAGAGTTTTAGACCATCTCATGATTTTTTTGCAGGTCCCAACCAGATAATACTTTGCATTTACCAATATTGCTCAAAGCAACCATATGAGCTGTAAACATAAATGTAAAATTATCATGCTTACTCAAAATCATTATTGATAAATGTTGAGATTATTCCATTGATGATATTCAGGATTAAATTTCGATGAATCTCGTTAGGTTTATATGTATCATGTACAGTTTGACTGGATACAGCAACTTTTCGCAAGTTCTTTTAGAACAGATGGATTGTGGCTATTAGTAAGATTTATAACGCGTTTTTCATCTAATTTTGGACTCATCAGATGGATGTACCTGAATCCCAGTGTTGATGCGTTCAGACGGAGACCCGAATTCAGTCCCTTTCGCTCAACGTGTTATCGACTGAGCTACTGAGCCAAGATAGTCACTAACTTTTGTATTAGGTAAGATGTTAATATCGTTATTGATAAGGATTTCATATATCGAGTCAAGTTTTCGGTTTTATTATACACAGAGAGTCACTGGTGAACACGGTTGAAGAATCAAATACTACTGTGAGACAGCTAGCAGCTATAGCATATATAATAGTATTAAAATAAATATCTAACCTTGATACGATTCACTACTTCTTGAGCTTGAAGCATACGAGACATTCGTGTTGATTGTTTATTACATAAAATCTGAGTACTTCCCATATACTGAGCTCGAAACAATAATCCATGTATGAGAACATCTGGTTGTTCAGGATGTCGAACAGAGACTGAAAGAAAAATGTAGTCGTATAAAATAATAATGTTGAGATGATGAACATAAGATAATTATTATTTTTCTTTGAAATAGTTAAAATATGAGGTTGTGTGAACACATACATACACCACTATCCTAACCAATTCTTACGCAGTCAGTCATATTCCATGTAGGGCATAACACAATTGTGCATTAAGCAGAGTGACCACATACTAAAACAGAACAGTCAGATAAAAGTGACAAGATGAATAACAAAATTGTCAGTGACAGTAATAGCCATGGCTTTAAAAAACAGTAGGGAATTTATTCATGGAATAAAGCATGAAATTATTAACTAGAATCTGATAATTTGTAATAAAAGGTGTTTGGGGAATCGACGAACTATTAGATGCAACGCTGATTGATTGACTGATAATATGGAATGATACAATGCGGTCGAGTGATGGACACTCACGGGACCAAATTGATGTAACCCCTCGAATGATTTTAGATTAAACACAGAACCACTAGTCAGAAAAATAGGTTTTTTCTTATGTAGTAAAATGAAAAGTTTATATACGGAAGATTAACACAAAATAAATATGATAAATCGTTATAGGCGATTGACGGGAATCAGTTTTGTAGGTCGCTCATGCTTCAATCAATTAAGGCCTGACTGTTAGGCCTAATTCTTAGACATTGCAACGGAAATAGTAAAGAACTAGGACTTAGAGGAAGTTCAAAAATGAGAACATTTGGACCACTGTAACGTATCTTAAATCATATCACCTATGATCTCGAAGAAGTATATTCCTACTGAAACAGATTACCAAACAAATAGCCAATAACTTTTCAGAATGGTCTCAAATCTAGACTTATCCACCCCAACCTTTCTTCCAACCTCCATCTATGCTAATCAGCACTGTAGGTCCATGTAGGAGGTGGTTGGACATACGTAATACATGCTCAGTTCACCACCATAGTTTCGTCAGTCAATTACCATCCTTGTCAGGGACCCTATCCTATGTCATTAACTTGAACATTGTACTAAAATTAATATTTAAAACCAGTGGTATATTTTAATTGTTCAATAACATCCAATAGGTTAAATTAACTAATTTAATTATAAACGAGTAATTAGCTAGTGTTTCATTTACTCGAAACTTAATTCATATGTGTTGTGTGAGGATTAGTTGATATGATACGTAATGTGACGGAGTTAATAATGTACACTATTAACGCTTGAAAAATCCAACAATATAGAGAAGATAGGCTCTGTAAGAAAATAGATTTCCTACATGGATAATACGTGTAAAGAAGGTTTATTTGTAGGTGGGTATATTAACATGAGGGACATGATGTTGGTGACCTTGTTTATGCAAATAATCCAACTAATCGTTTTAGCTTGGTCACACATTTGATTCGATGTATCGCTAATGCTTCAATCAAAATGTTTAAATGGAAATAGTTGAAATGAGGCTTGAAATTGAAACTCACTACTCCAATACAAAACAAGAACACAATGAAATTGTTGTGCAATAATTTGGCATACCATATAGTAATAAGTGCAATATTATTAACAATTATCGAAAAAAAATAGGCTAAAAATTGTAAACTTTTGTTCAGATAATTACATTTCTACTTTCCTTTAACTTATTAGACTCATTACATCTAAATAATTCGACAATATACAAAACAGAGGGTATCATTAACCGTTTTGATGTTCAATAATAACAGGATTTATCAATTTTTTTTAGCGTAGTACAGTTGAATATATCATTAGTAAAGAAAGGAGAGGGGGGAGATAAGTGAGTGTTTTTGTTATCTGGTTAGAAATTTATGGATTTAAAGTAGTAGTTAGTGAAAGCAAACATATAGAAGTGAAAAAAAACCATAAAATGTAGTGAAAGTCAAGTAGAGAAATAGTACAAATTTAGATTATTATTAATACCAATAAAATGTTATTATTATTATTATTATTATTATTATTATTATTATTATTATTATTATAACATATAATCATACGACTATATTGGAGATGAATTTTTCGTCGATTGGATATAAGATCTTAGAAAATTGTGTTCATGATCACTAAAGAATAATACCAGCAGCTATGCAGAAATTGATGCTACAATCTTAAGAAATAAAAAAATGACAATTTTCAGCAAACATTTATTACTGTCAACTATTTATAAGTGAAACGATGGTTTTGTTGTATTCTGCATTTGGATTCGATTACGACATACACATCCTACTATACACTAAACCTACTATGCAAATGAAATGATGGAAATAAGTAGGAAGATTTGATCGTCTAACCGAATTGTAATGTACAAAAATCATAGGTATATATCTTGGAGATATGACGTTCTCTGTTCTCTTCAGCTCAAGGAACACACCATCTTCAACACTCTTATTCTGAGTTACAAATATTCTCCATCGTGTCATAGGCACACATGAATGGTTATTTTTCTGACCCAAACACGGATATGTAGGTTGGAACCCTGAATAAATGACTAACCAGCTTCCGTCAATAGCGTTTCTCGTTTACAATTTTTCACCTATCGTTAGACGTTTAGGTAATGTGAGCACAGGCACATGCTGTGTTCATATTTATTCAGCTTATCAGGTTTGATGGATGAAACATTCAGATTTTAATCAGTAGTTTTCAAGTTTTAACATTTGATGTGTTGACTATACCCAGACAAGTATTAGTAATACTCCTTAGAAGTGTCTATGAGTCAAATTCAAGTGCATAAAACATTTTTCTTTAAACCGTGGCAAGTAAAACACTAACCACTTAGTTTCTTTATTATTAGTAGTACTATTACTATTACTATTTAGTACTAATGAGTAACTTTTAATTAGGTACAACGTAAATATTATCAAGATCAAAATAATCGAGCCTCATTGAAGACAGGAGTACAATGTGATATGCATATGATAAACTTTTAAGGTTGATTTTCTTTTTATTAATGGCGATGACAATCCAAATCTCGAAAATGACCTAAACACCAGATATGCATGTATTTATTAACAAAGTATCTGGACTGAGTTAGTTCATAAACTCACATTGACTGTTCAAACAAAAAACTGCTTCACAATATACTTGGAATTATCAGAGTAGGTGTTAATGGTCAATCATAGAACACGATGTAGTATTTAGGTATAAACGGATAGTTATCTTAATTCCAGTATAGCACCGGAGAAATTAATAAAATGAAAAATATAGGAAAGTTAAAAATAATAACAAATGAAACTGAAACCTAAACACAATCCAAAAAAGAACAAATGAAATCGATTAGAATCGAAAACTGAGAGTGTTACCGAAAAATCGCTCCGATTCCGTTTATATTATGGTCTATTATTACGACCCAGCTACTTTTATTACTTAGTATTCTTTAGACACTTTCCTTCACTCGACAAGTCCTTAAATCAGAACACCGCTAAACAGGAACGTAATTATATCCCAAATAAACAAGGAAAAGTTAGTATATAATTTTAACGTAAGATTTTAGAGTCTTCTTTAAGCATCCGCTAGAGCTGATTGGCTAAAAAAAATGACTAACCAGGAACCTCCAACATAATCCTGCACAAAATATGCTCTAATCCAACTTATATCTCGCTAAAAGTTTAGAATCATTGTTACATTATTATGAATCACTCAGTGAGTAATAACACTTTTAGTACACACACAAACATACCTTCTCGAACTCTACGTTGACGATCAGCCTGTTGAATTAAAAAAAAACAGATAAAAATAATGAGAAAAAATTGTTCTTCAAAATATTGTAAAACAAATAAAACTTCATGATCTTCTATCACTCTAAAAATCCTAAATTGATCCGGTTACATATTGAATTTAATTTTCCGTTTTACTCATCAGAATGTTATAGTGTACTAGTTTATAAATTATTCTTAAAATGAGATTGGTGATATAGGTGAATCTTGGGGCTGTTTTTTTTCAAGGGGTGATCAACGGTATTATCTAAAGAATAATTCACAAGTAAATATGTGTTTTTCACAGACATTGTTTTTAAATACTACTTAGGTGTAAACTGATACGCTATGAATGGTTGTTTTTAAATTTGATTGTCTGAGGCTGGTAAAAATCAATTTTTTTAATTAGCCAGCCGTATACCGATATATATATAATCACGAAAGGATTTATTGAGACTTGACCAAAAAAGAAACTAAATTAACAATGATAGCCATTTCAGTCTACAGCATGAACCCCGAACCAGAAATATAACGGATTGAGATGAATTACTAGTATTTTAAGTAAGTTTACTAACCAGATGTTAGCTTCATTTCACTTTATGGATGTGAAACATGGTCATTACAAATAGAAGACATTTGTAGGTTATTTGTATTCGATCATAGGCATCTACGAAGCATTCCTCGTGTAGTTTGGGATCACAAAGTAAGCAATTTCTGGAACACGAACGGGTTACTAAGTATAGATGGCAAAGCGATTGATGTGGTAAAGAATTTTCACCAACTGAGGACATCTGAAACGTGTGTTACGTGTGCCCAACCACTGTCTGCATTGACAGGCGATATTTTCTGGTGCAAGAGTAGACTGGAACAAAGGTCGAGGTGGTCAAACCAAAACACGACATCACCTATGAAACCACCGACAATTGGATTGAGTTATGTTCATAGGTGTAGACAACCTGGTTGTGTCCGCGCGATTATTGTAACCAGTGACTAGAGACTCTAGATGATATGGCCCAAAATCGTGAGCATTGAAGCAGGTGCATCCATTCTTTGTCTTACTTCAAATCCTAAGATTCCGAATTCCTCATACCCTCTTTTTGTTCTCATTTAGATAATTTATCTTCTCTTCCCAGATCGTATCTTTGATGCATGGTTTTTCCTATTACTACTCATGTTATCTCTAGTATTCTGGGATTTAGTGTGACAATCTCATTCCTCTGTACTAATAGGGTATGGCAACTTGAACTGATGTACATACGTACCAGGTTCTACGTTGTAACTGACTGATTTGATCAAATGATATTAACGAATTATACATGCCGCCAACTCGTATATAATTATCGAGTTAATTCGCATTAGAGGATTACAGAGTAAGTCAAATACGATAACGAATTTTGGATATGTGCATTTTATGTATTCATTGCCCTCAGACAGACAACAAGAGAAACGAAAAGTAGACGCAGACCGGAGGAGGAAAGTGTGGCAAATATATTTGATCAGGCGTGACTTAATATTTATAGCTAGACAAAAACAAGCTAAAGACATGTAATGAATAGGCTAAGCGATGCACACACATACGCTCATTTAAAATAGTCAAGGTCAATAAGCGAATAATTGATAAGGGTATAATGTGACTCCAAAATAATTAATTATTTGGTCTGTCCGGAAGCTAGAATAACCCCATTTGAGGTTGATCTAGTATGAAAAACTATAAGTTCCATGTTGTGACTAACTGAAGTGAACATTAGTATCGCAGTTATTAAGCACATATCATACGAACTATAGACGCTACTGACTGGTTGATTAAAACGGAACAAACCGAGATGTAAATTATGTAGACCCTGGATTATATATATATATATATATATATATATATATATATATATATATATATATATATATACGCACATGAAACTACACATAAACGCCGATACGGTTAGCTAATAAAAGCTTCCTTCTCACTCGTCTAATCAGCTATACTAGTGTATCGGAAGCTTGCATATTAGTATTAGTATCGGACAGCGCAAGTCATAACAATATGCAACTGAATTTTACAAGGAAGTTATACCGCAAAAAGGTTGTTTTTTTTCTTTTAGAGGAATATTGGAAACTAGTAATAAAAACCCACATAAACGCACAAAATGGTACTTAAATGCAGTGAATACAGCAATGTTAAAATGATAAGAAAAATTTGCAAGACATGGGAAAAGAGCTGTTCACGTTACACTTTTTCTTCTGAGCTGCAGGCATACCGATAAATCAATTACACAGATGGTGGAATTGACTTTTAGCCAATAAATTGCTGGTTCAAAATCCGTTCCACTCACTTCAATTCGAGCAATCGAGTAGTCGATCACTAGCCCCCACAAAATTAGTATGCGGTTTAAGGTTAAAAACACGAATCTGTATTATTATTATTATTATTTGAACACATAAATATTGGTACAAGAATGCGCCACACAAAACAATGAGAATTTAAGGGGAAGGAAAAAATATTAACGAAAAGATTGATCTAAGGTGGTGTAATAATAATAATGGTAAAAATGGAGGAACGGAAAGGTACAATCAGAAGAAATCTTCCAGTTAAATAAGACACGACCACTTTTTATGAAGAAAGTAAACGAACGTTACAGCGGGATCGTCATTGACTTGTATTCTAAGCCATATCTGATAACGTCTCTAGCCACTGTGTAGCACCATCTCTAGGACCCCAACAGGGGAGTCGAGAAGGACCGACAGAAACCAGTCCTTTGCAGCTTTTTTTCATGTCACGACACTATGTCATACACTGACCACCTCTTTGCTTCTTCAACTCGGAGAGGCCAGGTTTCACAAGGATAGAGCAAAACTGCTCTCACCGACGCGTTGTAAATCCGACCTTCTACGGCCAGACTGATATCACGAAGGCGCCAAGGATGACACAGATTGGCATAAGCCGCTCTGGCTTTCACTATACGTGCATTGATCTCATCACTCACACCCCCACCAGCACTTATGCAGCTACCCAGATACACGAACTTCTCGACTACTTCTATCTGTTCACCATGCAGAGTGAGTAAAGATTAGAATCCTGCCAGTCTTGTAGGAGTACTTTGCACTTCGAAGGTGAAAAGCTCATACCGTACCTACGGACACTGATTGCCAACTGATTAAGTGCGGATTGCATGCCTTGGACATTATCGCACAGTAAGACAATATCATCCGCATACTCAAGGTCGATAAGTCTTTCTCCAGGCAACAGATCCACACCACCATTACTTACATTCATCAGAGCTGTTTCCAGAATGTCATCGATGGCAAAGTTGAAGAGGAATGGGGAGATTGGGCAACCCTGCCTAACCCCACTACTCGAATGGAACAATGAAGAAAGGTGGTTGTATGCCCTCACTCTGCCTGAAGTGTTTTGTAAATAGGGCCTTAAGGATGTTAATAAACTTCTCAGGCACACCCTTCTTCAATGGACAATCCCAGAGAACAGTCCTATCCAACGAATCGAAGGCAGCCCTGATGTCAAGAAACACTACGATTGTTGGCCTTTGATAAGTATGGCGATGTTCTAACATTTGTCGGAGGGTGAAGATATGATCAATACATCCTCGACCAGAACGAAACCCAGCCTGCTCCTCGCGAGTCAATCTTTCTCGGGTTTTGAACAACCTACGAAGTATGACGGAAGCCAATAGCTTGGACGCAATCGGAAGTAGACTTATCCCCCGATAGTTGTTGCAGGAACGACGTGAACCCTTTTTAAAGATAGGGACAACTATCGACTCATTCCATGACGTTGGTACACTCTCTAGCTCCCAAACCTTTGTAAACAACGTCACCAATTCCTTAGTCAAAAAGTCACCACCATCTTTAAAAAGAGCCGGAGGTAAGTCATCCGGGCCAGGTGATTTGTAACGCTTCAAGAGTTGGAGTTCCTTGCGGACTTCCTCCTCGTTTGGTGGATCAGTCGTCACCGGCCATGGAGGGCAGGACAGTCTGACCGATGTTGCCCGAGCAGCAGGCCAGTTGAACTGCAGATTGTTTCGCTCACACCAGACTTCTTGCTGCCAGTGGCTCGGATGAGCTGGAAGAGCTTCCGGTAGTTACCAGATGCAGCTGCTGCTTCCAGCTCATTAGCACGCTCCGACCACCAGGCTTCTCGGTCCTTACGCAAGCTTTGCCCAATTTCCTTACGTAACATCCTTCGTTTATGGTCAAACTCACGGTCACCCGGAGTAGACCGATGGGCTTCAATGAGTTGTAAGGAGCCTGAAGAAACCCAGGGCTTGTAAGCGGGACGTTTCGCAAAGCCGCAAGCGGCTTTTTTCGCCATTTTGATGGCGTCATGAAGTTGCAATCAATGCTCATCTATAATTTTCGGTGGAATGGTAGTCAGCCTAGAAGCTAGCTCGGTTTGATACTTATTTGCAACAGAAGTTGTGACCAGCTTGCTAACATCAATCCGTTGCTGGCGGTCACTTCGTTGTCCACTGAAAAGTAAGGTAAGATTGGCGCAGACCAAAGCATAGTCAGAGTCCAGATAGGTACTCCAAAAGGAGCAGCAGTCTTGTACACAACCACGCCAGCGGTATCTGATCGCGATGTGACCAATCTGAGTTCAGGCTTGGGATGCAGAGGGAGGGCGCCAGGTGACACATCGATGATGACTGTGCCAGTAGTTAGTGCTAGCCAGGAAGAGGTTGTGGTCTGCGCAGTTGTAGCAGACGGTCCCCGTTATCTGACCTGCGACCAACAAGTCCTCATCAGCCACCTAAACGATTCTCTTCTGTACCTAGATGCTTGACCTGAGCATTCAAGTCCCCAGCTAGTACTATATCTGTCGAACGCACTTTCCGAAAAACCGTTAACTGGTGGTAAAACTCATCATTGATTGCATCCGGGCTGCAATCTGTCGGGGCATAGGGGGAGATGACGAAAAAACATCGTTTCTCACGCCGATTTCTTCTCATCTTGATGGAACTTTCTAATCTAACAGCACATAACCGACTGTTAATGGGGATCCAATCGACTAGTGCTGCCTCAGCTCTAGCGCTTAGTGCGACACCAACGCCAGCAAGACCAGACGAAAATGCCACAGGGTCCCCGGATAAGCGCACGTAAAACAAGCTTTTCGAAGCGACAGATGGAGATCGAATTTGCAGTACTTCGCCAGAGTCTTGAATAGGGATCTCGGATAGACAACAAACATCAATATTAAGACTTTCCAAAGACATAGCCAGCCCTATCTGTTGTCGGACCAGCACTAGTGTGCGAACGTTGAAGGCAGCCAGTTTGAATGGTGCATGTGGTTTCAGAAAAACTGCTTCAGTTCTCGTATTCGGTGGTAACATACAATTTTCAACCGGACAGTGACTCGAGAACGTTTAGATACAGTCGGATTTCCACCATAGACAAGCTGCTGTATAAGTCGAAAAAATAAGTATAGACAGAGTAGGCATAAAAGAGGGTGGATAATGTCGTAGTAAATAATAATAATAATAAAAATAATAATAATAATAATAATAATAATAATAATAATAATAACAATAATGAGTCATTTGATTGTTATTCGAAACGAGAAAAGTAGTTTCCATAGATATAGAGAGTTCATCATTTGCATGTGGGCTGTGATACTTCCCGAGTGCCCAGACCGAAGCAGGTGGTTTTCGTAGGGTGCCACACCATGAGACTTTGACCTAAAGGTCTGATCCACAAGGCAGTGGAGCATCGTAAGGAGATGCAGTCCCATGGAAGCCGGTGACCAACGATTGGTTCATACGTCATTTGTTCCCGCAGGATACTGGAGTTAATGTGCACCATAGGTTTAGAATCCGGTTAAAGCGCCGGACATTCGCTTATCGTCCTCTCAATTTCGTAAACAACACCCGAGCCACGAGAAGGCAGTGAGTAGGACTTCCCTGGTGAATGAGTTAACATAACGTAGCGATTAAACTAAAAAAATCAATGAGGATACGAATATGCATGAACATAAACACAGTATCTCAGATCAACCACTAATTATCCAAAAGGTTATCGGAACGGGAAGCCAATTTTAAAATAATACTACTAAAACCTTCATTAAGATTTCAAGCAAACACTTGATGTTGTTCATGTTTTAACGACCCGACCGTTGTTGCTACCTTGATGTGGTGGTCGGGCTTGCCTATTGTCATGAAGCAACCAGGGTATACTGGCTGGAACAACTGTTCCTCAAAGTCCCATCATGTCAAACAGGTCGCTTGAAGAGCGGTAAGACTAAACGCACCGATAGGTTCTGTGGCAGTGTACGTCATTAGAAGATGTACCTTAGAAGTGCATAAACCCTGTGAAGACTCTTTACTCGAACACTACTAGTCGAGTGAGAGCTTATGGCGAACTGTCATCTGCTTTTGCAACCTCAAGTGTTGTCCGTCAAGGCTGTCGACTTTCTCCATTTTTGTCTAACTTCATCATAGACCTACTGATGGAAATAACGCCCTTATTGACCGGATTTCCGGGCATTGATCTAATTCCAGGAGGTCCAATTATCGACTTAGAATGCGCAGATGATATAATCCTGTTTGGTGAAGACGCTGACAAAATGCAGTCTTTTGGTAGCACTGAGCAACAATGCCAGCATGTTTGGAATGCGCTTCTCATCCTCTAAATGCAAGTTGTTGCTTCAAGACTGGTCCGCGTCAACACCTGAAGTAAGGATAGGGAGTGAAGTAGTCGAACGCGTTGACAACTCCACTTACCTAGGAAGTCTGACCAACCCAAATGGGTTGGTGTCTGATGAAATATCAGCATGGATTCGAAAAGCTCGTTTGGCTTTTGCCAACTTACGTCACCTATGCCGAAGGCAAGATATCCGTCTATCAATAAAAGGACGAGTATACTGCGTGGCAGTTCGTTCTGTTTTACTTTACGGTAGCGAAACATGACCATTAAGAGTAGGAGATACTCGTAAGCTACTAATATTTGACCACAGATGTCTTAGAAATATTGCTTGCATCTGTTGGGATCACCGGGTAAGTAATAGTGAGGTTAGACTCATGGCATTAGGGAACGATGGTAAATCAGTTGATGAGGTTGTGAATCTTCATCGACTGAGATGGTTGGGCCACGTGTTACGTATGCCTGAACACCGATTACCACGACGCGCAATGCGGACTAGTGTTGGAGACGACTGGACGAAAGTTACGGGTGGCATCATTGCTTGAAGTCACTAACTTCTAGTCTGAGCCATGTCGGTAGATGCAGACTACTTGGTTGGGGTCCGCGTGACTATCGTAACCAATGGTTAGAGATTCTTGGTGACATGGCTCAGAATCGATCACAATGTCGTCGGTGTATACACTCTCTGTCTTTCCTTAAACTATGAGACTAATATTATTTTATATCTTTCTATGTAAGTACTAAATCTTTCTTCCTATACTATATCCTTATATGCAATAATTTTTCCTTTATATATTGCACCATTGAGTTAACTGCTTCTATGAATCTGGTGTCCATCTTGCTGTGCTAATGAGGTATGGCAACTTGGACGGATGTACATATGTGCCTGATCCTACGTTGTAATTGACTGACTGATGTTTCAACGCAAGCAAGGCTTAGTGATTAAACCATCTAGAGCATAAAGAACACATACAGCATAAAATAGTACAGTACTTCATATATAATATATTATATATATATATATATTATATATATATGCATGCCCAGAATTTCCCATTGATTTCTTAAGTGTATAATAAACATTATTTTAAAAAGTGCCCACATAATAATGATAAAGGAAACAATACCGACATAAGAAAGTCTCATCTAACAAGTAAAAAACAAGCTGCTGTTATCTTCATTAGATTCAAGAAAAAACAGCACTTCTCAATAATTACTGGTGTTTATGTTTAACCGTATTAATGATTGTAAATATTCAGGAAATAATTATCAATATTCGTACTATTGACGTATGTATGCTTCAAATAGAATGGTAGCAATAATAATAATAATTTATGAGACAAAAGGATTAATTAATAACATAAAGCAAAAGAGAAACAACCTTACCACGGTGGCCCAGTGGTCAAAGTATTCAGATTTCATAATCATTGACTCTGGATAGAATCCTTTTATTACATCTGCTTTTGTCTGAGCAATTTGAGTAGTTTCTTCAAGTCATATAGCGTGGTTCAAAGCCTAGTATTTAAACTTATACCTCATAAATAAGTTGCAATGAAGGAAACAATTTATAAAGACCTAAAATCAGAGATTAGTAATCACTCTACACGAATTTCTTCTGATATTTAGTTGGGAGACTCACACAGGAATAATATGATCATCAATTGAGCTTAATTTAAAACCAACAACATATTTTCGAGTTAATGAAATGCAATTTATGCAAAATCCAGTATTAAAAATAATGAAGTTTACATAGTTGGGTAGTATTACTGTATTAATAAAAAAGCAGACAGATAAAACAGCCTCCAATTAAGTCGCAAATGTGAAAGCTGTTCTATATCCGCAGTAGTAACCTAGTGGCTAAGGTGTTCAACATTCAACTACACCCTGGTAGTGACTAAACTGCACTACAATCAAAAGAAAACAAAAAATATGCACCACTAATAAAGTATTACATACCTCTATGCAAGACTTATCTTTCAATTCTGGAATATAAACTTGTTTATCAGCTTGATACTGTTTATCTAATAGTTGAGCTGTATCCTCATCGCTGTCGAAATCTGATGAAATCAATTTCAGAAATAAATTAAAACTTAAGGACAATAGTTATTAGAATAATAACGATAATAATAATGATACGTACTGATTAGAAATGTGTGTATGAGGGTGGGGGTAACCAACAGCTAGAAAATCAGTAACATTGGACAGTAATGTTAGAGAACATGTTTAGTTGAACAATCTTGTGATATGAAAATAAAACACGTTTTAATTTATAAAATCTTTGACTTCCCGGTTGTTAAAGCTTGAAAAGCCTTAGAGATCCTAAACAATGTTCCATAATACTGATAACCAGTAGTCAACAAAAGTAAGGAATGTAGATTTATTTATTCTTCATCTGTTATTGAGATTCGAACACAAATATTTGTAATAGTCATTTTGGGGATTTTTAGTTGAACAGTGTAAGATGAATAACTTCGTCACACAGCCTCCTCCCTTATAGCGGAACTACAGAATGAATAACGCTGCGGTTAAGTGGATAATACTATGTAGAGATTGTGAGGCAGTGAAACGTCAACAGCTGAGGTGGTTGATACTGTTACACACGACCAGATACTTTAGCTTAACGTGTTATCCTGACTAGTATAGAGACAAATCAAGACAATTGTATTGATCTATCAAGTTAATAACTGCTGATCTGAGGTGTGTCAAGGAGTGTGGACTTCCGGAACTAGGGTCTATTAAATAACTTTAATCTATGGCAGAAGGTATTAGGTGTCATAGTTCCATAACTGATTATTGTGATACATGTGTTTATTCTTTTCAAACTACATATTCAATACTCAAATACCATTGATGTTATTTTTTCAACTCTTTTGCATTTTTTTCTTATTAATTTCCTCTTGTAGTAGTATGAAGGGTAGCAACTCGAACCAATACATATTTCCACATCTTAATTTATTTTGAACACGACTAACCAACTACAGGTTTGTGTATTACTAGTTGGGCGACACTTGTGTAGGAGTTGATGATTCAGTCGCTTAAAATGAAGTACAGTTGGACTCAAAGCCTAATGACTACTAGTCAAGCTTTAAAAACATTAAATCGTGACTACATAGTTCCAACCTTACTGAAGGTTATAATAAATAAATTAACCTACCCCCGTCTCGACGATCGGACTGTCGTGAAATGGGTGACTTATAAACTTCATCAGAATTAACATTAGTATGAGCTGCACTCTTCGAATTTAATTTATTTTCTATCGTACCTGGATGACTTGAATTGGTTGATGCTTTATACTGACTTTTTTGTTTTGAATTATCAAACGATGAAAATGATAATGGTGATGAACATTTCGTATTTTGTCCTTTATCTGAATTATTTCGAGATTTAATTTCAGATTTATTAGAAATAGATTTACTAGCATTACTTCTATGGGAAGTTTCATCATCACTTGAACTATAGACAGTATGTACTTGTGCAGGGAATGTCCAATGATGCATTTGTTTGTGTGAATATAAATCAGTAGGTGATTCCAGAATATTATTTTTAATATCAGTAGCATTACCTAAAAGGATAATAAATGATTCATTTTATGCTTTGAAAATACACAGAGAGTGAAAAAAATATACAAAAAGAATAAGAGAAAATACAAAGACGAAAATTGAGAAGTAGAACAATGTGGGAAACTACTACTTTTTATAAGAACCAGTATTCATCGTCAACGTAAAATTCAACAAGAATGAAGTATCCGTTAAAATAGTTTTAAAAGTATTAAAAATACATGAAGTACAGCAGAGGAATAAATTTAAACAGTCATGGAAATTTAGAGATACGTACAGTTAAACTGGAATATAAAAGATCGAAGAATAAGAAGTAAGAAATGATATTGGATATTTAGAGAAGCACACAAAAAAATGCAACTGCGGTTAACTTTGTGTTATATCAGCTAAAGTTCCCAACCATTGATTACAATTAGTGGGAAATGAAAAATAAGAAACTTGATCAAAATTAGTGTTAGATCAGATGTTTACATTCGAATATATCCACGAACACAAGCTAACAACACTACAATATGCTTATTACCAACTAAGTTCCCAGCTACGTGGATGAAATATTTTACATTAACTTCTAAAAACTGGAAGAGTGTGCTCAAAGTTTATAATGCTACTAAAACCTATGATAACGATGGTCTATCAAGGTGCTGGCTATTCCAGTATCATACGCCTATTTTAATATTTTTACACAATAATAAAATAACTTAGTACCAGATAAATACTGACGTTCAACTTACCATGGTTAAGTATAAATCAATACTGGTGTGGTTTGGTATGGCTATGAATTATCAAAACATACACTTGTTAACCCTGATGGAGAAGCTGTTATGTCCCGACAAGAATAATGAATGGTAACTTTTGGGATCTGTTGATGGACCAGTACTAAACATATATTTCTAGTGTATAATTATTAAGTAACTAAACTATGCATATTCATATTCCTCTTATTATAAGCTTTATTTTGACCCGTAAACTATTATTATACGTTTTACCATTCTTGAGTTATACGCAGCATATTAATTACTACCTCCTTCATTTACAGCCACATCTGGCTAATTCTTGTACAAATGTTGTTTCATATTTTATTGGTATGTTGTGATTGTTTTGATTGGTATATAAACTCAGTAAGTTTGAAATATAATTATTCATATCGCAGAGGCTCTGATTGGTGTTCTGGACTTAACTGGCTGGGCTAGGCGGAAAGCAAGACTCTAGACTGCTCGCACATTTTTTACGCGTCCTTGATCCGATTGATAAGTCACTGCACATTAATCGGCAGTCACAAGTTATAACAGAAGTATGGGCCGCTCACCATCAAACTATGTCCTGGGTAATCCTTTCTAGTTATTTTCAGTTGCTATTCATCCTTTTCATGTCTGCTTCCAATTGCCGACGCAGTGTATTCTTTGGCCTCCCTCTTTCCCGTTTCCCTTCAGGATTCCAAGCTAGCGCTTGCGTCGTGGTGCAGTTCGATGACTTTCGTAATGCATGTCCTACCCACTTCTAACGTCTTTCTCTAATTTCTTCTTCGGTTGGAAGCTGGTTTGTTTTCTCTCACAGTAGGTTATTGCTGATGATGTCTGATCAACGGACGATGAGTATCTTGAGTAGATAATTGTCTAGAAATACTTGTACCATTTTGATAATTGTTGTTGTAGTTCTCCAGGTTCCAGCTCCGTACAGGATAACTGTCTTCGCGTTTGTGCTGAAGATTCTCACTTTGATGTTGATTGAAAGTTGTTTTGAGTCCCATATGCTCTTTAACTGTAGGAATTCTGCCCTTGATGTGCAAATCATTGCCATGAGATCTGTATCAGATCCTCCACGTTCATCGATGATGCTGTTCAGGTATGTGAATGCTTCCACCTCTTCCAGAGTTTCTCCACCACGTGTGACTGGGTTGGTGTTTTCTGTGTTATATTTGGGGATCTTGCTTTTTCCCTTGTGTATGCTGAGGCCTACTGATGCAGAGGCTGCTGCTACACCAGTTGTCTTGACTTACATTTATTCGTGTGCATGGGATAGAAGGCCCGGATCATCTGCAAAGTAAAAATAGTCTACTTGCATGCAAGCTGTCTATTGTATTCCGTGCTCCCCTAAGATGTCAAGGTTTTCATAATCCAGTCGACCACCAGAAGAAAGAGGACAGGAGAGGATAGACAGCCTTGTCTGACTCTGGATCTGTCAGCTGTACTCCATGCACGACTTTGCATTGTTGACAATCTTCTCCGGTACACTATAGTGTCGAAGAAAGTTCCATAAGGTCCTCCTATCCACGCTGTCAAATGCTTTCTCATAGTCAAGGAAGTTGGTGTATTCAATTGATTACAAAACAACGATCCTTAGTGTTGCGATTTGGTCTATGCACAACCGATCCTTACGGAATCCATATGTTGATCTTGAAAATGGGCGTCTACTGAGTTTTTCATCCTGTTCAGCTACACTCTACTGAAAACTTTCACTGGTACCGATAGTAGTGTGATAAATATGTATTCCTCGCATTTGCTCATATCTCATTTCTTTAGTATCGCGATGAGGTATCCTTTGTCAAAACGTGGTCAGCTATAAATGTCTTAAATTGATTGCTTTCCTTTCTGATATAACGCACAACAATCAGAGAATCTGTCAGAAGAATCACATCTGAAAACTTCATACATAATTCAAATTGCAGCTGCAAGTCTAAGTGAGCTGCTAAAACTGCTGCTGTAAGTCCTAAATACAGAACAATGCACACTTTCATTGTTGCTACCCTTGTCTGGCAAGGACAAACTCCAATACCAACTGCGTAACATTAGACATATGCAACCGCTCCATATCCAATTTCTGAAGTATCAATGAAGATATGAAGCCCCATGAATAAATGATCCATATGAGGTGAGAATGTAATACTTTCCACTTTTCGAATGTCATCCACAAAAGCAAGTCAATGAATGCTCCGTTTTGGAATTTTTTAACCCATTCTAAACCTAATTTGCAGAACCCATGAAACAACTATTTCACAGGTAGTATGAAGTATACTAACAATTTCAAAGTCTTAGAGTGAAGAATAATAATCTCAGTAACTTTTGTTTGAGTTAATTTGACAAATATTTTTCGATGATTATATTATTAATTGTAATTTTAGGTTGTATCCTGCTAATGAGAAGCCGTGAAATAAGATGAATACATTTTTGTCTCAACCTTGTTGCTTTTGCTGCTTACATTTATCAGGGTATTTGGTTGAGTGAAATATTTAATCAGTTTTAAACACTATGAAAAATACCAATATTATGGTTTTAAAACTTTAACTCACAAGAAGCTTGGTCAAATGTACCTTCATCCGTATATTCTACAACAGCCGGAACAGTATTTTTCTCTTTATCGCTAAAAGTGTGCAAATAAGTGAAAATGTTATGGTACATTTAGTAGGGAATAAAATAATCAAAATTGGAGTTGAGACTTAAAAATTATGTGATACTACAATCAGAATGTTAGTTACAAGTCTGAGCTTGATTCCACATACCCAATCTGCGCAGTCTTATAATACACCCAACTCTTCTAAAAGACCTGACTTACTATATATGAATACATGAGCCTGCACTCTCCAAATTACACAATACAATATTGGGAATAGACTAGTAAAATGAATGCAAAGTCTACTAGAAACAACCACGAGTCATGTTACTAAGCACATATAGTTAATAGATCCTATGAACTGTAGCCAATGTACAACTTACTTACGCCTGTTACTCCTCATGAAGGAGCATAGGCCGCTCACCGGCATTCTCCACCTAACCCTGTCTTGGACAATCCTTTCTAGCTCCTTCCAGTTGTTATTCATCCTTTTCATATATGCTTCCATTATCCGACGTAATGTGTTCTTTGGCCTTCCTCTTTTCCGCTTCCCTTCAGGATTTCAAGTTAGGGCTTGCCTCGTGATGCAGTTTGATGATTTGCGTAATGTATGTCCTATCCATTTCCATCGTCTTTTCCTAATTTCTTCTTCAACTGGAAGCTGGTTTGTTCTCTCCCACAAAAGGCTGCTACTGATGGTATCCGGCCAATAGATGTTGAGTATCTTCCGAAGACAGCTATTTATAAATACTTGTACCTTCATGATAGTGGTTGTTGTAGTTCTCCAAGTTTCAGCTCCATACAGTAGAACTGCCTTAACGTTGGTATTGAAGATTCTCACTTTGATATTGGTTGAAAGTTGTTTTGAGTTCCATATGTTCTTTAACTGTAGGAATGCTGTCCTTGCTTTGCCAATCCTTGCCTTTACGTCTGCATCTGAGCCTCCTTGTTCATCGATGATGCTTCCCAGGTATGTGAAGGACTCTACATTTTCCAGAGTTTCGCCATCAAGAGTGATTGGATTGTGGTTTTCCGCTTTGAATTTGAGGACTTTGGTTTTCCCTTTGTGTATGCTGAGGCCTACTGATGCAGAGACTGCTGCTACACTGGCTGTCTTCATCTGCATCTGTTCGTGTGTACGTGATAGGAGGGCTAGGTCATCTGCGAAGTCCAAATCGTCTAATTGATTCTGAGCTGTCCATTGTATTCCGTGTTTTCCTTCAGATGTCGAGGTCCTCATAATCCAGTCGACCACCAAAAGAAAGAGGAAGGGAGAGAGTAAACAGCCTTGTCTTACTCCCGTCCTTACTCAGCTTTCCTCCATGCACGACTTTACATTGTAGTCCGTCATATGAGTTCCAGATAATATTGACAATCTTCTCAGGAACTCCGTAGTGTCGAAGAAGTTTCCATAACGTCCTCCTATTTGCACTGTCAAATGCCTTTTCATAATCAATGAAGTTGATGTATAATGACGAGTTCCACTCAACTGATTGTTCGACAATGATCCGTATTGTTGCAATTTGGTCTGCGCACGATTGATCCTTACGGAATCCAGCTTGTTGATCTCGAAGTTGGGCGTCTACTGCATCTTTCAACCGGTTCAGCAACACTCTGTTAAAGACCTTCCCTGGTATTGACAGTAGTGTAATGCCTCTGTAGTTTTCACATTTGCTCAGATCACCTTTCTTTGGAATCTTGACGAGGTGCCCTTCTTTCCAGTCCATCGGCACTTGTTCCTCCTCCCAAATCTTTTTGAATAGAAGGTAAAGCATGCTTGTGGTTGCTTCGATGTCTGACTTCAGTGCTACAGCTGGTATGTTGTCGGGTCGCGCTACTTTCCCGTTCTTGATTTGTCTGACGGCCATTCTGATTTCTTCCTTCGTTCGTGGGTTGACGTCTATGGGGAGATCTGTGTGTGCTGCTTCGATGTTCGGTGGATTTATTGTAGCCGGCCAATTCAGGAGTTCCTCGAAGTACTTTACCCATCTGTTCCGCTGTTGTTGAATTTCAGTGATTGGCTTGCCTTCTTTGTCTTTGACCGGTTTCTCTGGTTTACTGTATTTCCCTGATAGTTTCTTCGTTCTATCGTGAAGCTGTTTCATATTTCCTTCTCTAGCAGCTTTTTCCGCCGTCTTTGCTAGTTCTTCCACGTGTTTCTTCTTGTCGGCTCTAAGGCTCCTCTTCATTTGTTTATTTGCTACTGTGTATTCAGCATGTGCTTGGACTTTCTCTGCTCGTGTTCGGTTGTTGTGAAATGCTGCCTTCGTGTTCTTCCTTTCTTTGATCTTGTCTAGAGTTTCTATAGAGATCCACTCCTTATGATGGTGTTTTTTTAGGCCCAAAACCTCTTGACACGTTGAAGTTAATGCTTATTTGATACCTTTCCAGTTGTCCTCCATAGTAGTTTCTTCTTCCTTCAGTAGATCTTGTAAGGCTTGGAACCTGTTGTTGAGAGCTATCCTGAATTCATTGAGTCTGTCAGTATCTCGAAGGAAGGCCGTATTGAACCATTGTATTGCTGTTTGTCCACTTGTCCAGTTCCTTTTTAGCTTCAGTTTTAAATTGCCAATGTAGAAACTGGCACAAATATCGTGCCAATATGTTACTTTCTATTACTACGGGAAGCAGTGATAAAGAAGACGGAACTACAGGTAGTAGTTTTTAACTCAATAAGGAATTCAGTCAGTCAATTACAACGTAGGATCAGGCACATATGTACATCCGTCCAAGTTGCCATACCTCATTAGCACAGCAAGATGGACACCAGATTCATAGAAGCAGTTAACTCAATGGTGCAATATATAAAGGAAAAATTATTGCATATAAGGACGTAGTATAGGAAGAAAGATTTAGTACGTACATAGAAAGATATAAAATAATATTAGTCTCATAGTTTAAGGAAAGACAGAGAGTGTATACACCGACGACATTGTGATCGATTCTGAGCCATGTCACCAAGAATCTCTAACCATTGGTTACGATAGTCACGCGGACACCAACCAAGTAGTCTGCATCTACCAACATGGCTCAGACTAGAAGTTAGTGACTTCAAGCAATGATGCCATGTTTTGGTTTGGCCACCCCTAACTTTCGTCCAGTCGTCTCCAACACTAGTCCGCATTGCGCGTCGTGGTAATCGGTGTTCAGGCATACGTAACACGTGGCCCAACCATCTCAGTCGATGAAGATTCACAACCTCATCAACTGATTTACCATCGTTCCCTAATGCCATGAGTCTAACCTCACTATTACTTACCCGGTGATCCCAACAGATGCAAGCAATATTTCTAAGACATCTGTGGTCAAATATTAGTAGCTTACGAGTATCTCCTACTCTTAATGGTCATGTTTCGCTACCGTAAAGTAAAACAGAACGAACTGCCACGCAGTATACTCGTCCTTTTATTGATAGACGGATATCTTGCCTTCGGCATAGGTGACGTAAGTTGGCAAAAGCCAAACGAGCTTTTCGAATCCATGCTGATATTTCATCAGACACCAACCCATTTGGGTTGGTCAGACTTCCTAGGTAAGTGGAGTTGTCAACGCGTTCGACTACTTCACTCCCTATCCTTACTTCAGGTGTTGACGCGGACCAGTCTTGAAGCAACAACTTGCATTTAGAGGATGAGAAGCGCATTCCAAACATGCTGGCATTGTTGCTCAGTGCTACCAAAAGACTGCATTTTGTCAGCGTCTTCACCAAACAGGATTATATCATCTGCGCATTCTAAGTCGATAATTGGACCTCCTGGAATGAGATCAATGCCCGGAAATTCGGTCAATAAGACCGTTATTTCCATCAGTAGGTCTATGATGAAGTTAGACAAAAATGGAGAAAGTCGACAGCCTTGACGGACAACACTTGAGGTTGCAAAAGCAGATGCCAGTTCGCCATAAGCTCTCACTCGACCAGTAGTGTTCGAGTAAAGAGCCTTCACAAGGTTTATGCACTTCTAAGGTACATCTTCTAATGACGGACACTGCCACAGAACCTATCGGTCTCCAAAGTCAAATGCTACTTTTAATTCAAGAAAGACCACCATTGTCGGACGCCGATAAGTATGCCTGTGTTCTAGAATCTGACGAATGGTGAATATGTGGTCGATGCAGCCACGAACAGGTCCGATGCCAGTATGATTTTCCCGTGTTTGCAGTTCACGAGTCTTAGTTAGGCGTCCGATAATTATCGAGGCTAGTATTTTAGATGCTATATTAGTCAAACTAATCCCTCTGTGGTTGTAACAGGATGATTTTAATCCTCTCTTTTATATATTGGGACGATCAGTGACTGTGACCAGTCAGATGGAATAACGTCTAACTCCTAGATCTTAGCTAAAATATAAGTCAACCTAATCGCTAAAATTGCACCACCGTCCTTAAAGACCTCTGGAGCCAATCCATCTGGACCAGCTGCCCTTCCTCGTTTCAGATCAACTATAGCCTTTATAACTTCTGCTAGAGTTGGGGGATCTACTTCAATGTTCCATTCACACTGTCTGGGAATGGAGGGTAGTTGTGTAGGAGCTGAATGTCAGCTGAACTGCTCCTTAAAATGTTCCGCCCATCGTTCTAAACGTCTAAACTGGGAGCAGATAAGAGTGTCGTCTTTTTCCGAGATAGTCTCACTTACACTTGACTTATTAGTTCCAGTTTCTTTTATTAGTCTGTAAAGCTGTCTTGTGTTCCCTATAGCTGCCGCCTTTTCCATCTCTTTTGCTTTCGTTACCCACCACTGCTCACGGTCGTTCCTTAGACTTTTTCTTAACCTAGATCTGATTTCTTTACGCTCTTCATGTTCAGAACCTGGTGGGACAAGTTTGCGAGAATTCATCAGTGTGATAGACTTTGAAGAAATCCACTGGTTCTTTGTAACTCTGTGGTTCAAGTCTCTAAAAGATGTCACTTCTGTTTCCACAGCTGATTGTATGCCTTTCCAAGCAACATCTGGGTCAGCCTCGTTTTCAGAACTACCTAAGTGTGACCTCAGTTGTTCCTGGAACCTACTTTTGGTTTTCTCGTTACTC